GTTATTTCTGATTAGGGACCTCATCCTGCTATGCCTTTTTGATGTGTAAAACATACTATCATATTGGGGCAGAGCTAAGATCCAATTTAATATCCTGTCTCTGAGCCTGATTCAGAGAACGGTGTGAAAACGCCAGATAAATCTGACGATTAGAATCATAGAATTGTTTAGGTTGCTTTAAGATCATCTAAGTCCAACCATTAACCTAATACTGCCAAGCCCACCACTAAACCACGTCCCTAAGCACCACATCTACACGGCTTTTAAATACCTCCAGGGATGGGGACTCCACCACTTCCCTGGGCAGCCTCTGCCAGTGCCTGACTCATATACCTTGCTAATTAGATACCTGATACAGGGGGCTTGGTTGCCTTGAAATTAAAAAAAAAGGCCTTTACAATCTGTGAGTGATTTAAGTCAGACTATAAAATATTGCTTTTACACAATATCAGTTTACATTTACTGTCACATATATTTGCACAGTACTGTATTTGTACAATATACCATAGGCCAGCACCACTGCCAAACATGTGAGATCAAATATGGTAAATTACTGTTGTTGTTGAGGTCTGATACACCAGAAGAAAAACACAAGTCTGAAATTACCGAAAACTTCATGGGAAAGAGGAAAGGAGTTCCCAGAAATATACTGAAAAACGAATGCTTCTCAGTTTTGAAATGAGTTTGCCGGAGCTTTCCAAAAGCAGATGAACGTTCTTGACCTGACGAGTGTTTATCAACTGTCTGCGTGTCTGCTTGGCAGCTTTGCTCCCTTGAAAATATTCTTAATCTGAAGAGCTGAGAAGATGAGGTTTTGTAGTCATCCTTCTAGTAAAGGGTCCCATTCTCCCAGCACATCTTTCTTCAAGAAGAAATGTGTAAAAAATAGTGGTATTGTTGTGGGGTATGTTAGCAAGAGGATACAAGATAACTCAAGAATTACGTATTTGGATGTACCTGTCCATGCACAGTAGAACAGAGAATTTGTTTGGGATATTTTTAGTGAAATTTCTTCTAGTTAGAAGTGTTTCTGACTTCTTCCACAGTGTTTAAAAATGCCTTTTTCCAAACAGAACCAGCAAAGAATTAAGTAATACCACAAAGACAGACAGATGCTTTAAGATTTCAGTTAATCTCAACAGAGAAAGCAAAGTTAGCTTCAGAATAATTGCAGCGACCTCAACTTGATATCTTAAATAGCAAACAGTGTTCCCTGCGGAGTAATGCAATCTCTCTGATACAAATCAAACATAAAATTTTACTTTCATTTTTCAATTACTTTATAATACTTATTAGGTAATATAAGTCCTGGCTAACACTAGTGGGAGTTTTAAGGATACAATAGCTGCAGCTGAGAAAACTGAATCAACAGGTTAAAGCCCTGGATGCATGAAAGCCCATATGGCTTTGCAGGAAAGGAAAGTCTGTTTTACAAGAATCATTGTTCCATTGTTTTTTGGGGTGGGAATTATGGTTTTGTTCTTTGTTAACACAATGCCTCGCACAACGAGTTCTAGATCCCTGATTAGTGTCCCTTCAGTGCTACAGCAATCAGAAAATAAATAACAAGAATGGCATTTTAAGGCTCTGGTTCTGCAAGTCACTTGTCCAAAGCCACAGAGTGAAATGATGCAGAGCCAGATTTAGCATACAAGGAATTTCTTTTACCCAGTCGCAGCCTCAGACCATTATTTTGCTTCTCTCTAGCAAATGACCTTGTTTGATGTGTTTCGATACATCACGCGGGTCTTGGCATGCCACTGCCAGCACCTCTGCTCTTCTGAGTCACTACAAAGGCAATTGGACAGCAAGCAGCTCCTTCCTTCTAGGTTTGGCGGTCACGAGGAAGCCTTCGGAAGTGAAGAAGGAAACCCTGGGAGCCAGGCGGATGTGTTAGGTGATGGGCAGGCTAGCACGCTTCAGGACGGACAGCTGGGAAGGACCTCAGCATAGGGCAGGACTCGGTGCAGACTGAGTACCCGAAACGGAGCTGCTAGCGTGGTCTTGAGTCTAATGTCTTCTTTTTCTGACAAACATTAAAAAATAGTTCATTGTTTTGAATTGCATTAGTAACATGCAGAACAATAATCTATTCAAAAGACAAGTTATTAGATAAGTTTATTGGTTTCAGTCATTTATGAGAGTCCAAGAGCATGTCTCTGTTATCTGGGCTGTCTCCTGGGAGGCACCTCTATCTATCTCCCCAAATTTCAGGAGGAATCTCAGAGGTAGGAGGGTATTTGGATGCATACCCACTCCTTGCAGTTTGTCCTCAATGCAAGTGCTTCGCCTCGTGATTGTGTGGGCATGGTATTCTGCCCTTGCGTTGAATTCCGTTGGTCTCTTATTCAGAAAAATACTTTCCTTAGCTCGGGAGAGGAGAGTACTGCACGCAGCATGTATCCCACCTGTCTGACATGATTACTTCCAGCAAAGTCAATGGAATTGTTTGCACAGGATGTGGTCCAGTGTTAAGAAATTCTTTAAAGCATAGGAGCAAAAAACATGTGTGTGTCTTTATATGCTGGAATTTATCCATTTTCAGGCACAGACAAAGGGAGTATTAAGGAGCACGAGAGAGTCCCATTAAAGGCGTAGTGTACAAAGGGTGTGAGGCATAGGACAGGGTAGGATGGAACAGGATAGGAAAGGAAGGGGAAATCATCTCAGTCAGGCAAACAGGGTACCTTGTCCAAGTAACTTCTCCAAATCTGTTGGAAGGTGCCCAGTGAACAGGTTGGGGCTTTCTTGAAGTTACAGTTTAAGGAATGAAATTATTATAAAAATAATATTAGAGGTGGGCACAGGCTGCAAATATGTTACCTTTTTTCTGAAAAAACAAACTAATTAAAAATAATTTACTGTTCTGTTTCGTTGCCAAGACCTATTTTCAGGACTCTGTGCTTCCCCTCAAGCAGCCAATGAAATCTCAGGCACCTAAAGCAAATAGAGGCAGTATACTTAGGACTTGGCCAGTAAAAAAAAAAAAAAGAAAAGAGGAAGTTATTTTTAAATATTTTGCTTTAAAATTGCCATTTTTATATTCATGCACATTCTGTTATTAATTTTGGCTGGTAAATAGTTCTCTTTATAAAACAACTTAACCATTCACCTTTCATATGCAGTTAAACTCAGATCCTGTGTAATCTTAGGTTTCTCTGCTTGCAATTTCCAGGACACACAGAGGAGCAATTCTCTTTAAAACTTGGATGTGAGGTACATCCGGGTTGAATAATGACAGTGTAAATCATGTTCACTGCTTACCCGTGCCTACCATGCTCAGTGAGGAGAGATGCTCTCTGCAGAGCTCATCTTGTGGTACGTGCCACCGTAGCTGCTGAGTTCATCCCAGCAGCACATCAAATTGTACGACTGGGGTCTGTTCCACGTATGTTCACCCTGCCACTCGCAGAACCAAAAATGTAGGTGGTGGAGCCTCCTCCTCTGCAGAATGGGTGCTAGAGAGACTCTTGGTAATGAGTTTGATTTATTTGGATTTTTCTAGTTCTTCTTTTCATTGTTGTTTCATAATGCACATCTTGCTGTCTGCATGGAAGACAGCAGAGTCAAGAAAATAGGCTTTTTTGGGTTGCGGTCCTCCTGCTGCAGGTATTCAGGCCATCTGTTGAAGTCACAGTGGCTATCCATGTGCTGGAAGTTAAATACATGCATTTGTTAGATTGAAGTTTGAACTACTGTTTCACTTGAGTAGAGGTGGCACATGTCCCTCATGCAATATGATATCAATTCACAGGTTACAAAATTTAGAACAAAAGATACTTATTCCATGAAAAAATTTGGAAAGGATAAGGAAAAAGAAAACTTAAAAAAGTTATTTTAAAAATGCAAATAAAATTTCTATGCAAAACAAGTTTTAAGTAAGGATTTAAAATAAAAAAAAATGTAATTGTTTAAATTTTATTCCCATTAGTTTGTAATGCTTCGCTAATATATTGCTTTTTTCCGGTGAGTGACTCCCTCACGGAAAGCGGGACAAGCGACCTCCCGTGTTGTGCAAGGTCGTGTGTGAGAGGTATGCCCCAGCTTACCTCACGTCAACCTCCTTGTCCCCTTTTATGTTCTTCGTCACCGTTCAGTTTGGCTAATGCCGTTTAGCCTGCCTGTGTTTCCATACTTGCTGGATAAATGATCCTCTCAAGAAGTGATGGGAATGTTGCTCAGATGCTTTTCACCATGCTTAGACACTTCTCATGGTGCAGCCTTTAAATGCCTCTGTGTCAGCGGTGGGTGAAGTGATTCCTGTCTGATGCAATTGCATAGTGTGCAACAGTTAACACTGTAAATTCTTTTGTTGTCAGACCTACTTTAGGTATATTTTACATCCTCCCCAAAAGAATGTGAAGACTGCAAAGAGAAACAGGCAGGAGTTGGGAAATACCACAGAGAAAGTCCCCTCTCGCTTTTGTGCATCATCTCTTCAATTACATGGATTATGCACCGTTTTCCACCAGCTTCCCATCTTGCTGATGGCACGGAATGAATACTGTTAGGGGCTGGCGTCACTAGGTTGGTGAAGTGGAAGATGCCACTGTCCGAAGGACACCCAAGCCATTTTTTTTTTTCAGGAAATGGAGGCAGCATCATGAATGAAGCAAGGAATTACAGATGGAAAAAAGACACTGTTACAGATAGGCAAGCTGAAGCTGTTTGAGGGGATTAGTCCCATCCCTTCCTTTGCTCTAGAGTCACTGCATAACAGTAGAGTGTAGCCAAACACTTGAACTGAGATATTCACAGGAAGCCTCTAATAATGAGTACACAGTTTTGGGGGGTTTAGAGAGTGACTCCTGACTCTCCTTGCAAAAAGTGCAGAGCACACACGAGGATGCTTTGAGTTGTGCTTTGAACAACTTACCAGCTGATCGATAATGCTAAGTACCCTGGAGAAGTGAGGCTTTTGGTGTTTCTCGTTGCGTATTCAAAATCACCCGATACTTCTGATAATTTTGATTTCAGTTTCTCTCTGTTTCTGTCCCCAGTTATAAGGTAAGGATCATACCACCTCCTTTTTATAGGTATGGAAGCAAAGTCACAGTGTTTGTGGTAGACCCAACTCCTATAACTACTAACTAGATGAAAATGTCCATGAAGAGGTTTATCATCTCTCCTCAGAGCAGGGCTTGGTCACCTCATACTCTATAGAAGATTGTTTTTAAATCCTTATTAACTATCCATCTTGTTGACCTCACCTTCTGGCCTCTCAAGCTCCTTCATCTCCACACCTCTCCTTATCTCTGCCTTACTATTTTGCTCTTCTGCTTTCTCCTTTCACTACTTCTTGAGTCTGATGGCTTCCAGAAAGAAACTTTGCCATTAGGAGGAAAAGCCTCTCAGTTCTGCGCTTGGGACCATGTAGTTTCCCCTTCATGGGGATGTCCCAACAACCTACATGGGTTGCCATGGAAGAGCATCTGTGAGGGTGGCAGATACCACATCTGATCGGCCCAGAGAAAGGCTCTGCCACATTCATGAGGAATTGAATCTATCCAGCCTATGCAAGCGTATTTTTTTCAAAGGCTTATAACTCAGCCAAATCTGGGCAACTTTTAATAAAAACTTTTCCCCTGCCAAATTTCACGTCCTTTCTACAAAACATGGAGGCAGTAGAGCTTTTTAATGAAACAGTTATTAAAAACCAAAACAAAACTAGGAATAATAACATGTTTTTCTCTCGGTTGTTCTCAGAAAAGTTGTTCTGTTGTTCTCAGAAATGGCTGAACCAGTTCAGCCTGATTTATTTATTTTGGAAAGAGGCAGCTGAGACAAACTTTCAGCATGGGAAATTTCAGCCCAACTGGTTAGCCTTTCTCAAAGTTTGGCAAAGTTTAATGCAAGTGAAAATGGTCCTATACTAAGAAGTCAAAGGCAAGCTTACTTATCAGCAATGCTCCTCGCTCAGTATAGAAAAAGACTGTATGTATTAACTCTCTTTTTTAAATCTTTCAGATTCTTTGAGTATATATTGCTCTACAAAGACGCAGTGATGTTTCAGATTGAACAAGTTACAAAGCTTTGCTCGAAGATTGCTCTGACAGAGCCATGGGATCCATATGATATTCCTGCCAATTCAACTTACGAAGATCAGTACTACATTGGGGGACCTGGAGACAAAATTATGGTACAGGAATGGTCTGACAGAAAACCAGCCAGGAAATGTATGTGCATACTTTTGTTTCCTCTTAATAATAAACATTGTCTTTGCAACCCAGGGAAAAATAAATTTATTCATGTTTCACCCCAGCTTTCCATATTTCTATAAAGTTTGCTGGAAGAAATAATAAATACACCTTGTGCACAGCATATCATTTTATTATCAATGCATTTTATTAAGAAAATGTTTCCTATCTCAGCAGGATCAAATACGTCCAAGGGACTTGATTGTATTTTAGTTCGGATCATACAGATTTTGGCATGGAACAGCATCACTTTGTGTCTGAATCCAGCAGCCTGTATCCAAAATTTATCTAGAGAAGAACTGGTAATATAATTAGGGGTACACTCAAACTAGAGTGTGCATAATAGAAAGAAAGCAGGTGTCAGTGTGTGCCTACACACTACTATCAGATGTTATCACAGAATACATCCAATACGTGGTTCTGCAGCAATGGATATCCTTAATATGCACCTAAATTTTGTTACCTGCTACACCAGTAAGAAATATCTGCTTGCAAGCTTTAGTTTTGCACTTGGCAGCTGAACACCTGCATCAAAAAGAAAAGAAGCTGAATTTTCCAAGGTACAGTATGTTAGGTTTTGGATATATAGCAATTTATTAGCACACTGGCTACAATTTCATCTATGGTTTACTGATGACCCGGACAACTATAAAAATAATTTTAAAACCTCCATGAAATTTATGGCACTATTCAGCTAATGCAATACTTACGGTTATAGACACCTAATATATAGGCTGGTTATGAACCAGAGCATTTAGCCAGGGGAAAGTACTTCTTTCTTGAAAAAATGTAGAAAGAGTGCAGTAGAAAATGAAGGATAAGATTGTTAAACCTCTGTAAGTAGGTCGATATATCCTCTGGTATTCTACAAGAGGCAAATTATCTCTTACTCCAAGAATTTTGTTTTTCATATCCGGTATTTTTGGAACCTTTGTGGAACTTAATATCCAGATACATCCAGTTAACGATGTGTGATTTTTATCCTGTAGTATTTTGTATCTCCAGTGCTTTTCTGTATGATCATTCATAAAAATAATGTCTTAAAGTTGTCTGCCCATGCACCTTTCAGCTAATACTGGCTTGGATTCTACAAATTATATTTCTGTTAAAATTATAAAGGTTTCAGTGGAGATATAGGCTACCTTGGTAGCATCATATTTTATCTTAACTTTTTATTCAAAATTCTGATAGAAGACTTGTTGAGGAAAAGCAGCCTGCATTTCTGGATACTCAAAACCAAACTCATTGAGGTCAGAATGGGTTTTTTTGTATATTAGGATGCCCTGGAGAGCTATGTTCAAATATTCCTCAGCTTGCTACCCTTTCTTTCGATACTCTGTGTGTGTTTCATGTCACAGCTTATCTATTCCTGATAATTGTGGTATGGCATATGACACAATACTGGAAGGACAGAAAATGAGTATGTTTGATTGCTGCTGAGTGAGAGGAAATAAGCCTCCTTGAAAAATTTGTTACAGGCATTCCTCAGAGGAACTGATTTATGGTTGTAGTAGGTAATTTTGTATTTTAAGCTCATGAGTTTCTGCTCTCAAGAGATCGGAAATACATAAAACTGGATGAAGTGGTGTCCAATGGAAGGGGTAAAGAAAGGTCACAGAAGAGGTGCATGGGGTTAATAAAAGAGATTTAAAAGTGAAGGGTATTCAAAGGAAACCACTTCGATGGTATTGACTACAGAAATAGCATAGCGGTGAAAGTAGAGGTGATGGCAGAGGACAAGGGGGAAAGAGAGTGAGGGAACACATCTGAGATAAGCACGTTGTGGAATTAAACTGAAGTTAAAAAACGGGACAGGCTTGCTACATCACATATGTGGAGGAGACCAGCATTGAGAGTAGTCTTGAAATAATTAATGAAACAGTAGAAATGTTTGAGAGGTACAGGAATTTAAAAAGTTAACATGATAGTGATGATATGAATAGATGATGGTGAACAGGAGGAATGAGTTAAAAGAAGAGATGGAGGCACTGGAGTTGTATTTGGGAATATTCCTCTTCTAATGAGACAAACCCTTTGTGCTTGAGGCAGATGGAAAAAGATGAAGCAAGGTCATGTTTGTTTGGATGAAAGATGTGGTGAGTATCATCAGTGTAAAAATGACAGTTAAGATTACAGAGAACCAAAAGCTGTGGAAGCAAGATGCTGTGTCTGTCAGTTCTGGTGCAGAGTCCCCAGCAGAGCAGAGGACAAGTGCTGCCTTGGGTAGGTGAGTGCAGAAGTTCCTGCACATGGGGAGGAATCGGATGTCCCACATAGTTGGGGGGACTACGTGCTTTACAGTGTCAAAGGCTGTGTTGATGGCCAGCATTGTGAAATGGAGTGCAGGTTTTCAATAATAGCACCGTTCGACTTGTCAAGAACAGAGCGTAAGGTGAAATGTCCTCGTGCTACCCAAGCTGATGGCACCAAAATTTGCCTTCTGGGAAACCAGAGCATTTCATTGTTTTACTGGTGAAGTGAGTGAGTGCTGACATGAAAGTGGCATGAGAGGTGAGAGAAATCAGAGTTGTGCAGGGCACAACTAAGTTTGGGACTAAGCAGAAGTGACAGTCCTTCAGTAGAGGTATATTTGAAAGGTGACATACCGATGCCATGATGGTATCATGGTTTGAAATGTGCTTGACACCAACATGTTCAGGTTTAAGATCATTGCCTTGTCCAAATTATAGCAGTTTTGTGGCCTTTCTTGGTGTTGCCATGCATACAGACAGAACTATGGGCAGTTCCAGCCTAGAGGCTTTGCTTGAGGAGTGGTCGTTTGTTTGACTGACATCATTGTGACACCATCATTCGTACTTGTCATCTAAAGCAGTCACATTTCTGCTTGCTTGCAGTGGAATCCTGGGTCGGCGTGTACACAGTCAAAGACTGTTATCCAGTACAGGAAACCTACACGAAGAACTACAGCGTGACAACCTCCACTCGCTTTTTTGATCTACAGCTGGGCATTGCGGACCCCTCGGTGTTTACCCCACCCAGCACCTGCCAGACAGCCCAGGCGAGGAAGATGAAAGATGAATGCTGATTACGGATACTGGCTGCCCTGGGCAAACAAATATTAGCCGAGAGGATGGTTATTAATAGTCAGCTGCTGACGTCTAACCTGATTTTTCAAGCTTATTGTTGCTCTTTTGGGAATTGTAAGTTTTCACGTGAAAGAACATAAACATTTAACTGAGTAAAATATGTAACACAAAAGATCTCTTTCATCACATTAATCTGTTCAGTGATGCACTTGCAGTATTATATAGTTACCACTAAGATAATATTTATAGGTACTATTTATTTAAGCTGTGGCTGATTTTCATTTTGTAAAGGTTTTGTTATTTATTTTTTCAAGAAGACAAAGCATAAGCAGACTGCAATAATGGTAACATCTAGAAGGAAAAGCTGGATTTTGTTGTTACTTCTGAGGACTTGAGGGAAGGGGAAATCTGTCCTGGGTAAGACCAAAAAGTACCCCGTTTTAAACAATGTACATCAAAAGTATGGAAATTCATTCTCTTAGTTTTGTTTTGCTTTGTGTTTTTTTCTTTCTGCCCTTCAGGAAGCTGGTAGTCTAATGTTTGAGCTGATTTTTTTCTTTCTGAAAAGAAACTGGAGTGGCCCTATTCATGTAATGCTAGCTGACGTGCAAAAAATACTTTCCTGTTTCTTGGGAGAATGGCATGAAAGGAAGGGAAGGAGGAGAGGTACACCCCCAGAAAAGTAAGCCAAAGTTTTTGTGCATTTACTACACTTTTGGTGAAGCGTTCCAGTAGGGTGCAATGAGATGTTTTTCAGTCATACTTCACTTTAGCACCCACTTTTCAAGGCAATACTAGTTTTAACCTATGCAAAGAGGTGCACTTTAAACGGCTTTAATATTTTGTAACTATTTTCAAAAGTCCTTACTCAAAGAGTATGGAAACACCCTTATAGTTCCAAGCAGAAGTGAAAAAAAAAAGCCGTTCTCAGTGCGTAATTAGTAGAGGCCAAATCAGCATTCACACAGTGCCTGGTGATCCGGATGGAGTGAAAGAGAGAGCTGGGTGAGCGGTGTGGGGAGGTGGGAGAGGGAGAGGTTTTCGATGCCCTCGGTGCGGTGTGGCTGCAAGGCATTGCAATCTAAGCAGAAATGACAATCTTGCTTTCTTTTGCACCTACTCCATTGATGCCTGCCTTATTTGCTGTTCCATCAGCATCTCAAACCTTATTGTCTCCACATCCTTTTCTGGTGGGCAGAGTGAAAGTTTCCTTAAGGATAATAAATAACTAACCAAAAAAGCGCAGGAAGCGCACCTATTTTGCTTTAGAAAATTCAGACCCAATCTTCCTGCATCTTCAGGCTCTCAGAAGTGTGGAATCGGAATGGGGTTTGTACTTTTACCAAATGAAATTAATTGGCTTATTTTGTAAGTCTACGCATGCATTTTATTTATTATTTGCAAATATGTTTACAGCCAGATTCTTGTCCTCTTATCCGTGTTGCGTAGTTGTTTGCTCCAGAAGTTGTCTGAAAACAGTGCAAGACTGGGAAATTTGGTGTCTCTGGAGGAGAGATGCTGGACAGGCTTTTAGTGCTTTATACGCTCATAGCTTTTTGTACGTACGCAAGTGGTACAGTGGTTATTTTGCTTTCACAGTTGTGGTCAGAATGGCATTTTACTTGCCTTGTGCCTAATGAAAGCATATACACATACTTGCTAAAATTTGGTTAGTTCATTAAAAATTTTCTCTCGGACATGACCATTTCACTGGAACATGCTAGTGGAAAGAAGGATTGGGTTTCCTTGAATTTAGAGGGCATTCAGTCTGTACTCGCCTTCTGTATTTTTTGTGACAACCTAAATGCGAACTGCATATTGTTCTCGTTAGGGCAATGATTAACATGCATTTCTTAATATCTGTGTCTTGTCAGAACCTGGAAAATATAATGAATCTGGCTAGCAAACATGAAGCTGTGGTACTGTATCGTTTGGGATGACTTTGTTGTGGTAGAGCAGATAGCTGAGTAATCAGGGTATTTGTATTATGTTTTGCTGACAGTGGTATAAGTTCTAGCAATAACATTAAATGTTCCTTTAAATATGAATTTGCAAAAGTCTGGTACACAGAAGTGCTTTAAAAATGTTGCCGTGACCTGCGGGGCAATTTTGTATGGCTAAATATGTACCTCTAGAACAATGCTCTCGTCTTCGTATTTATGCTCTACAAATTCAATAAAGAGAGTTGTCAAACAACAAATTTTTGGATTACGTGTTTTAAATTAGCCACGAACCAAATATGAAGCCCAAAATGCGTATGCCTGCTTTGTTATCTTTGTTATCGTTTGCTGCGGTTTGTTACAACGTACCACAAGAGACATTTTGTCTTTATGCGACTATGCCAATGCCTCAGTAAGAATGAGCCTAAAAGGACTTTAAAGTAGCCATATAGTGTGCGGCCACAGTAAAGTGAAAACGGGGTTTTCTTATGTCTACTAGTCTGGGGAATTTGTTTATCACAGTTATCTGGTGGAAAATTAATAATAAATTGGTATGTACAGGAGTTAAATTGTATTGTCTTGGGTAACAGTGGCAGAACCTGGGAGCTGGATAGCCTGTCGGACAAAGCCGGTTTTGTGAGATTTCCAGGGCTCCCTGGTTTCAGCTGGGCCAGAAATAGTGCAAACATAGATCTGCCTGCCATGTTTTTGTATTGCTGCTTGGAGGCTTCGCTGAAAGCAGGATGTGTAGAAACACAACATTGTTTTATTTGAAGTTAACCAAACATTCCTGAACCTCAAAACAGGTTTAGTTTGAGTTTGGGGAGGAGATCTGGGCATTTGGTTCAGTTCCTATTTTAACAGTTTGCTTAACTCTGGTATTAGGGCCAGATTTTGCTGCCTCAAGCCATGCTGCACACCATGAAAGTGCTGCCATTTACCAGGGCATGCCAACTTTCATGAAGACTGTAGGAAGAAATACAATAGTCCATAGTCCAAGTCAATTTGAGTCAAGAAAACTCTAAAAAATACAATATTCTTATTTTGGGACACTGATGAAATTAGTGTGTTTTCCACCCTGAAGTTCATTTCGTTATAGTGCTCCCACTTAACTCCTTGCAATCTTGCATCTCTTTTCTCTTTCTTTGCTTCCTAATGTCAGTGGAGTCCACTTCCAAAACGGCGTTTACAACCCGCACTTGCATTTATTTCAGTAGGAATTCAGCACCCGAATACCTGATCTCTTTAGTTTTGCCAGCGGTCTTATCTCAAGTGCAAGAGCAGTGCCAGCCAAATGTGAACAACATACGCCGAACTACATGTAGCTGACCAACGGTGAAGGCAGCGTTGGCTCTGGTGCAATTGCTGGTGCCCCAAAGTCCCAGTCGATGAGAGGTCTTGTTGCAGCTTCTGCATCACATCGTGCATCTCCTGCACCCTCGGCCACAAACCGGTGCTGGACGCAAACTGCTGGACATTCCCACATGACAGAAAGGCACATCAGGAAATCATCAGTTAGTTGTCTGCTCCCTAGTCGTGAGGAATAAAGATTTCAAAAGAGCACCCACACACAATAAGACAGAGGTCCCTGACTGTAAAGATCCCGAGATCTCTCTCAGCTGCCTTTCCAGGAGGCTGCGTGTACAGCACGGACTCGGGCACATACAGATTTAGTCTTCACAGCTGCACTTGGGCATAGGAACAAATGAAGCAAGCTTGGAAGGCTCTTTAAACACTTCTGAGCATTTACTGCTTTGTAAGGGGAGAGGGAGAAAAGCTTATGATCCAATGAGTAGTCTCAGAAAACAGCGACAGATGTGTAGGCTAACAATGATAAGATGCTGCTGTGAAGCTGCTAGGGTAACTTTCCAAACATGACTTCAAGTGCGTACTGGTTTAACATGCTCCAGGGTGAAGATCCATGTGGTTCGATATGGGTGTTTCAGCACAGAGCCTGAAACTGCGTACTGAATGAAATGATGCCCATCGTTACGGTATGATATTTTGTTTGAAGTAAGGACAAGAGCCCTGTGTATGTTATATGTGTGAGTTTATCCCTTGCACCTCTGCGTGCTCGCTCAGTGCATGGTGATGATGCTCATGCGCTCAGCACCCGGCCGTCACTGTTAATTGGGCTCAACTCGGGCTTCGTTGATGCCAGGCAAAGGGGCTGGCGAGCAAAAGGAAAGGAGAGAAAGAAAAGGAAAGCCTGCTGGGCTCACCCCGCTCCCTGCCGGGGTTTTTCCCACGCTTGCCCAGTGGTGATAAACAGCTTTGACATTCCTGAAACAGCAGCAGCTGAGTTGCCAGCTCTGCGTTACAGCGTGTGTCACGCTGAAGGAGAGGGTTGGGTTTCACCCTCTACACTAAAATTATCCTTCAGGCCAGACCAGGGACTCAGTTTTGGTTTTGGTGGAGAAAGCGTGCCTGTTCCCATCACCCCCACCGCTGCCGTCCCAGCCTGGCTGGCAGGGGTTTGTCCCTGTGCCACCGGCCCCCGTCCTGGCACCCTGTGGTAGCCCCCCAGTCAGCCAGACAGTGCTCCCCAGCCTGTCCCCGCTGTCCCCTCTCCATCCTCCAGGACAAGCAAGGGTCTAGCAGGGACCTCGCTGTCCCCACACACAGGGCTGGCGGGTCTGCTCCGCTTTTCTGTGGAGCTTGCAAAGGTGTGGGAAAAACCCTTCTGCTCTTCCCACCGCCATGCCGGTTTGAAATTAATTTTTGATGTGGTTGCTTCAGCTCTTCCTTTCTTCTTTATATGAAAACTGCTTCTGTTAACTTGATGGAGCAATTTGTCATAGTGATGCTGAGCTTGGGTGTTTTTACCACCCTCTTGGTGCCGGGTAGCAGCCCTTGTTTATTGCTGCAGTATCTCATACTCAGTGACTTGTATAGCGATAGACATTCTTGATGCTGGCAGAAGCTTGCGCTGGTAAGAGCACAGGGGATGGAAATGCTGAAAGTAATGATGAATGATGTTACTGGTGGCCCAGGTCACTACCAAGTACCACGACAGTGTTAAACCTCTGGGGAGGGGGCTCTGGAGAGGCTGTAGACACTTCACCCCCAAAAATACTCTACACCTCTCCAAAGGAAAACAAGGAGCTATGCTGGGCAGCCTGTGTTGCGTTTACTTTATTAAATATCTTGTACTAAATCTTGTATGCATGACCATAGCTCACTGTTGAGCAGTTGCTTCACGGAGGGACAGGAAAACAGAGGTTTTCTCCCAGCACACTTCTACAGATACGATGCAAAACTCAGTTATCGGCAGAAAATGTTGACTTTTGAATTAAAGAAATGGTATGTATAAAGTTCCAAAGACTTGTAGTGAAAGAAAAGCTATATCTATAAAGCAATCTGTAGCTTTAAGCTAAAGTTTTTCAGCCTTAGAACTTCGACTTTAAAGTAAATAAATAATGCAACTTGTCAGAAGGACTGAACTCTGAATAACCACTCTCAACTGGTGTTCAGCTTTGAAAGAACCTGCTTCTGTTGTGGGCTTGAAGAGGGGCTCTTCCCTAAAGCTGGCTTTTTCCAGCCGTACCAGTTGAGCTAATGAAAGACATTGCCTCTTCCTACAAACCTTGTCCTGTCAAAGGGATGGGTTTTCTTTACTTGTGCGTACGCTCAGTACGCTGCAGATTTCCAAAGAAAGATGATGTTTTATGCCAGCACAGGATCTGTC